ACAACGCTAGCCAATACATTTTCGAAACACACATATGAGCTTCTCAATTGACTGTGTTTTTTCCTGAGATTTTATTTTAAAATATAAAAATGGAATCCATCATGCATTGGGATGTATACTCAACGTACTGGAATAGAGCTCAAGTACCTCCTCAGACATGGCTTAAAATCTTCTTCAACAGCTGAGGGGAGACACTGAGAGATTACACAATATTATTTTGATTTTAGTTAGAGGAACTTCAGCTGAAGCTGAACTGAAAGCTTCCAACCGTATCCACCCATAATATCTGTCAAATGAGTCTCCAAAGTGAAATCTGCTCACTCTGGATTTGTGTCAATGACCTAAATAGGATAGTTCAGCTCTGAGCTGCATAGAACTCCCTGAACCTGACTTGCCCATTTTCTACATCGGTGTGGCAGTGTGCTCTCCCGGGCTCCCAGGCTCTGCTCCTTCTGACTAACAGAAAAAAATGACTGTTATCTCCCAGAATCCACTCATTTGTGAAGAATAAGACTGAAAATGAGAGGTTATTTACAATAAATGTATAGATGTATGATCCTTCATCTCATCTCTCTTGTGTGGAATGAAACAGTTAACAGTGCTGACATTATTTAATTATCGTCCTTCTGTTATCACTGCACTGAGATGAAATAGATAGCTCACACCTCTTCAGTTTTCTTGTTCTCCACAGACCCACAGAGGGTGAGGCCTTTGCTGCACTGGTTATTGCCTTCTCAGCAGCGGCAGGTTGTCAGCTCAGCTTAGCTATAGCATGGGATTTCACCTTTAGAGAAGTAACAGTGCAGTGTACTGGCTTGTTTCAGAGCCTTCATTCAACTAGGTAAGTGCTGACATGAACAGAGTATGTGCCCCGATGCTTTCGGTCATAAACCAATCACCTATCACAGCAATTGACTTTTAGCTGTTTTACAGTACCAAAGCACCCTTCCAGATAACAACAGTGCAGAGACAGGTCTGAATTAAAATGCCTGCAGCACTGAACTTTTCCTCCCTTTAACAGACAGTGGAATGGTTTTGTTTGTTTAGTTTGTCTAGGCAGCAGACACATGCCGTTTAGGGTCAAGGACATCCCTGGAGGGAAAGGGAGATGATGTCTTCCCCCAGAGCTGCTGAGCACATACCCCAAGAGTGCAGGCTGGGGCAGGCAGTAGAAGGAAGACAAAGAAAGCTGACTGGGAGACCCCTGCAAAGGGTTTGGTTAGAGCAGAACCACGAGTCATAGAAGTGATGGAAAAACGGGCCCAGAAGACATCACATGGAGCCTGTGCCTGAGAATTCACTGAAAGCTGGTGGACTAGAAAAGAGGACTGGAGGAAAGAACCTATTTTGCAAGGGCACAGAGGGCAGGGGAGAGGGCAGGGGAGATTTGTTCTCAGGCCTTTTTCTTTAATCAGTCTAGCCACCGGTTCTGAGCTCCCTAAAGAGCTATCACTTCATAACATATTGATTTATGTTCTAATAAAATATACTCTGAGAACCTAGAAGACTTTTGATGTGCCCACTAGAAAGAAAAGGTGTGGCATGTCCAACTTTAGCCATTGACCAATATGAGGTCCTATCAGCAGCTCCGAATTAAAGGAAACATTATGGCTGACAAGGAGATACAGGATAGGGATGAGGTTAATTTTCATTTAAAGAACTGTCTTTGTGCTGGTGGATCCCATAGCTGTTTGCAGATTCATTCCTGGGCATATATATGTTAGACTGTCTTTAAATGCAGCTAACTCTGAGGTAAAAAATGGCTAGTCTTGACATCTCATTAGACTACACTTCAATTTGAAATAGAGAGAAAGACAAATCCTCTTTCCATACGAAACTGTTAAGAAAAGGGCTAATACTATTCTTTTTGAGCTCCTTTTCAGAAGATTCTCAAGTATTACCCATGCCCAGTCCTATTTTGCTTGTGAGTCACAAGATTTTAGCTCACACAGTTCAAACTGAACTTGGTGCTATGCTCTGTGGTAAAAGGAAGCAGAGCTCACATTTTGCTTTCCTGAAAGGATGGCAGGTATGTTGGAATATCTCTGCACCATGTGATGACGTGAATGAGCATCTACAGAAATTAAAGCACAATAACTAGCTCCATGGCTGATAAGCAGGGCTAATGAGCAAAGGCCCAGACTACTACAAGCCTGGCTACACTGCTTTTGGAACTCAGTCTAGTAGCTCTCCACAGTACTCCGCTGTAATAATAAATGCTTCCATGGTTCCAGGCTACCTTGAACCGGGAGAGGATCAAAATAGGTGCAAGTTATATCTTGCTCCTTTACCATTTTCTCACTTTCTCTGTCTTCAACACAACAAGGGTTAGCCAGAGTTTTAGGGAGTTCTTGGGAAAATGTTAACAGGGTCATAATATAAGACTAAAGCTTTTACTAATAATATATTTCTGTTCTACAGAGATAAAAATATAGTCCCTGTTCCACTTTTAAGAGGGAAAGTCATTCAGAAATATGATTTAACTAAATTTCAATATCTCTGACACATGCATTCTTCTTCTGTAAGAGAGATCTAAAAGTCATGTTTCTAGCAGCATACATGAAAAAAGAAGCAAAGACAGGAAGAAAGTACCCAATTCATATGTACATTAATGCCACTTGCTTGCACTCTAGCAAGAAAAGGAGATACTAAAGTGAGAGCAGTTTATGTTTATTATACTTCTAGGTCCTCTCTGTAATGGCAGAAGAGTGTACATAAGGATAGGATCAACAAGAATCAGGCCCAGAATATTTTTACTGTTCATCTCCCAGCTGTGAAAAAAATCCCATCTCGATAAAAGTCTTCTAGTTAATAACAAGATCCAAGGGTATTCAGAATCGTTCTACAAATTTATTAACCTGTATTTGTACTTGTACATGATTCAGCAGATTTTAAGCTGCCTGATGCGGCTTACCATTTTCATTAGGGGAGAAGATGGAAGAAAGGCATAGCAGAAAGCACCACTTGCACTCCTCCTTTCTTCCCAGTCTTGAAACATGCAAGCCATGATTTGGGGGAATTTGTACATTGCAATAGGCTGCTTAGGAGCTGCAGAATTGAAAGATAAGTAAAATGATGCTGCCAGTATATGTAAATGACAGTGTATACTGTCTAATGTACACAACATTGTTATTCCTGTGCAATTATCCAAAAAAACAAACCCCAATACACAGCCTGTTTGAATGCTTAGGTTTACTTAGTCATGTTTAAATGAGGTCAGCCATGGATGACATGACTCGGGGCTCCAAGGCACTTGGCTGGGTTAAACTGGGAGAGGAAGCACTTTGTTCTCCAATTTTCAGAGACGTTCACAGAACTCATATCCAGAAACCATTACAAGGCGAAAGAGTTCTTTCAGTTCCCCTTTGGTAAAATCATCTGAATTTAGAATATACACCTCACATTTTCTTGAAACACTATTTAGTAGTACTTGTCATTTAAAAACATTTCCAGCGCATTAATGTATCACAGAATACTGCTGGCAACTGAATTAAGAAAACAAATATTTGTGGGGCCAGTGGGTATTTTGTGCATCAGCAAATGGTGTTAACAGATAGCACTCTTCATCCTCAGCACTGCCTGGAAACATTAATCAATGAATCCTGGCAGGGCTGAGCAGCAGGAAGGTAAGTATTATTTTCTTAATTTAACAAAAAAGGTAAGTAGGTGGCTTTAGTGAAATACTACTCCCACCTATTTTTCCTCTTCTCCCCAGAACACAACTTGTGACTCTGATTTGCAAGTCATACAGCTGGAGTAACTAATACATTATAGTATCTCACTGTGTACTGTAGTGTGGGGTAATATTGCAGCTACATCTCCTATCGATATGCAGGAGCTAGGACTAGATGTGGAAAAATCTTCACCTAAAGGATACTTGATCCTCAAAGTGAAAAGGCAAAAACCTCTAAGGGAATCTGTAAGTAGTAAAAATGCCGTGAAGTGTGTTCATTTTGCAAGTTATAAATCACTTCCAAATAACACAGTTAAAAAGAAGGAAAAGTGGTTGTGCTGGAACGGTTTATTCACTTGCATTCCACAAGATAATGAGATTTCAGACTACATCATTAAGATAAAACCAACTGTAGTTTTCCTGAACAGACTAATAGTAATGATTTGACTAATAACTTGAAGTTGGTGCTCATTAAATGTTCAGAGACTGATTTTCATGTTGTGCCCATGGAGGTCACAGAATTCCAGTTACAGGTAGGGAGATAGAGAAACACAGCAAGGTCAGGTCTGGTACCTCTGAGGAAGATTTTTGAGAAAGGCTCGATTAGTTGTTCAAAAGTTATGCCTCCTAATCCTTCCCCTGTTCCAACTGAACTTTCAATTTCTTCTTTAATTTCTCTGCTTGAAGGGTTTGGATTTTTTAAAGCATTTTTGGAATAAATAAAAAAAAATCAGTTGTCAGCAACAAATCACGTTGGTTAATTTTTGTTTTCTGTTCAGATTAATGCATGGTTTGAAAGCGGTACTCTGATTTTCTCCTTACACACAGCTGTCTCAGACTGCCACTGAAACCGTTACCTTGCCTGATCAAAGAGCAACTCAAGGTTCTACCAGAGACACAGAGCGCCCAGAGATCAGTGGTTTATAATCTCAGAGTCTAATGGTCACTCATGAAAAGAGAAAAAGAGTAAGGGGGTAGAATGGAGGCTGACCTGGACTACAACTGTGGGTATTAATTCTATTAATTCATTAATTATGCCCCTAAAAGATTCTGAAAAAGAAAGGTTATTTATCTGTGAGAGGTCTTCTTCAGAACTGGTTGCTTGTACATATAGATACATTGTGGGTTTTTCGGTTGTTTGCTTTTTGCTTCAGCCATACTCAAAGGGCACGTTAAGTCTCACCTGCTGCTCACACTGCTTTACAACCAGTGCCTCAGGCCCTTGTTTTTCTCAACCTGAAAACTGCCTCACAGAGGAAGGAGGGTGAGCTGTGCATGTAAGTGTAGGCAACACTAATGTACATATAAGCAACTCATTTTAAAGAAGAACAGTTACAAGTAACCTTTCTTTCATCTCTGAGTGTTTACTCACATGTACATTTACCGTGAGTGGCACCAGGCAGATCACATCCTTAAAGAAAAGCTCCCAATGTGACGAGTTGAATCAAATCAAAAGAACCTGCTCTCCCAAAGGTGGCATCGTGTTGAGAGGCTTCACAGCAGTGAAGGTCAAGGAAACAGCTAAAGGAGTTGCATGTGAAAGCACAGCAGATCTCAGGAAGGTAGAAGTCCCATGGACATGCCTAGATGGTCACTTTGTAACAAGTTCTCACATAGTCAGCTATCCAGTTAGAATGCCTTGGGGTTAGAAACTTGACCCCACGGATGTATCAGTTGAAGACAGGTGAGGGATCTTGAGGCTGATCAATGTAAAGAGAGCAAGCATGACTGGTATTCAACATGTGGCAAATGATTCAGCCCTGAAAACCTGTGGGAAAAGAAAATCCAGGTAGATTTGTTCCCTGACTCAGACGAAATTCAGAGACCCTTAAGCAAAAATTTGAAGGAAGTCCGGAGGGTGTAACTTGTCATGAAAAAATACAGTACACAGGCAGGTCATAATAGTGGACTAGCTCTCACCCCTCCACTGGCCAATGTGGTAACTTCCAGGAGGGACATGAGGACTAGGCCCAGGCTTTTCCAACAGATATCTAGCTTCTTAGAGTCCATAGTTCCCAGATCAAGAGAAGACAGAGAAAGTGAGCATTGTGCATGACTCCATGCAAGAGTCACCCTTTAAAGCCAAAAAGAAGAGTCAGTGTCATAGGAGGAAAAACAAAAAATAAGGAGAACGTGCTTCCAAGCAAAGGCAAGACAGAATTAAAGAACAAGACATACTATTAGAGAGTTAACACAGGTGACGTATTAACTGAATAAAGTTTCTCTGCAATCAGCTTCACAAAGAGGAGGAATAGGAACATGGGCCTATTTTACACCTTCATAGCCGCATGCATGGCACACAGATGGGTAGGATTTACATACGTGTCCTGTGGGGACCACTACAGTAAAAAAGCTCTCCAAGTACAGTCATAGTGTGAGTGCATATGTGCATAAAGATTCAGAAAAATGGAAAGACACACTGCCACCATAAGGCAAATACCTTTCCTCCTGCACAAAGCTCCACCATTCTTACTTGTGCTGTGGTCATACCTGAGAGACATAGACATGGCTTTTGCCCACAGCGCTGGATTTTGTGCAAAGGCAGAACTAAAATTTTTCCAGTTCCTTGGAAGTAACAGTTCCGGAGAAGAGTCAATTATGACGCGGCCAAATGCAAAAGTCAAATTTCAACTATTTCAACCCATAGTCAGTAACAGCCCCGGAGAGTCCAGACACAATTCGACAAGGGGTGTGGAAAGGAGTCACTGGTGAGGGGTGCATATAAATTCAGCCGTCCAATGAATCACCCTGCGTGCACTGCTAGTTTTAGCGTGCAGTAAAAACTTGTTCCACACAGTCTGTGGCAATGCTGACCCTTGCCAACTTGTCTGTTTCTCAGGCTGTTCCCTCCCATCCCTAGCAAATTGTGCCCCCTGATAGGAGAAAAACAAGCCTTTTTAAATTTTTTTAATGGCCCAAGCAGTAAAATTTGCTGAAAAAAAGAACACTGAGTATGTGGAGGTCTATCTCTTCTCCTACATCACAAAGCTTCATCCTACACCACCTACAGCTGGAAAGGCTGATATGGTGCAGAACAAGGGTATTACGCAGATCACTAGAAGATACATAAAAGCAAGCAGAGTTTAATCCAAAGAATTAGTGCTGCTCTTCTTCTCCAGTGGAGGTAAGTCCTCATATGAGCTCTAAATCAGCAGAACCCCTCATTTCTGTGCTTAATTTTAGGAATGTGAAGAGTCCGAATGAAGTTCTATATTTTTTTGTCAATAAAGACAAACAGTGCTGTGAAAGCACAGCTGGATCTTGGCCATTGTGAAGATCCTGAATCCTGGTCTTTACACACAGATATACGCCGTATGTTGAGAGCAGGGAATGCAGCTTCAAAGAGCAAGCTACAGGACCTCATCCCCCCTAGGTTCAGACAATTAATTTGCTTTTCAAGAAGATACCTGCACTGCTCTCTGGGATGAACTCATCTTCTCCCAGTCAGGGGAGACTAAGCAGATATAACCCCCTTCCTCCCCCTGAAAAGCATCACTACTACTACCCACCTTCCCTGAGGATTTGCCTACCCTGGCACTTTTCAGGTCATCCTGTAATGCTGCATACCTGTGGAGCAACTCCTTTTAAGATGGCGCTATTATACAATAACCACTGACTCCCATGCACTCTGCTCTGGGCAAGGTAGAAAATACGTGCCTCTCCTAGTGAAGCTGATGATCACAGAAAAGCTATTGTTGGTGCTGACGCAAAAGTAAGAGGAAGGAAAATCCCGGGTTTAATGCAGCCTAAACACTGTACAACTCATTGGGGACTGAGACCAAGTTTGCTTTGACTGCCATAATGCATACCATATATCCACAAAACTCATTATAGGTACTCAGCCATATTAGAACAACCGCTTGGATCAGTGTTGCATTTCTATGATGGTTCCATGATGGGGCAGATGATGTGCCAGTAGGCATGAGAATTTTAAGGTAATCCCAAAACAATCAAAAGTCACACACCTAGAAGCCTAATAAGAAGGAAAAGATAATACATTCAGCTAAGAAAGAGGGTAGGCGTGCTTACTCTACTTCCCTTGATGCAAGAAGTTATCTTAAGAAAATGGAAAATCTCCTTCTATGGTATTGCAAGATGAGATTAGTTTGCTTCCCTGATATCTTGTCAGAAGAGTGGAAACTGAAGACCTCCTGAGGAATGATTGTCAGCAGACAATCTGACCCCGGTGAAGGAGCAGAGACAAGTAGGTTTCAAATCTAGAAATGGGGCAACTGTACATATAGAGTTTGACAGCTGCGTAGGGCTCACGAAAAGCAGGAAACTACTGTCTGCATAGTTTCAACAAATGTTTTAGCAGTAAGAAACTCATCGGAGGATTTGCCAACATAAACACATCATTCAGCTGCTAGCCTGCTTTAGCCAAAGTGCAGGAGCAGGGTGCTTCCCCATTACCTGTCTGATACACTAAGATGAGCTCTAGTGGGGCATTAACTGTTTTGAGAGGGTGGGTTGTGATAGCCCATTGGCTTTATTATCCATCACTCTAACACTGGCTTACAGACATCTTTTGGGTTGGCAGAGACAGGGCCTCACTCGGGAGCGTAACGGTGCAGACGTTTCCCTGTGAAGCACAGACCGGAACTCCAAGGCTATGAGTGATGTCCCCGGGCACCTTTTCATACATCTTTCTTTTCGTGTGTCTCCTCCAGGGAACATGAGAGTGTCAGCAGCTGTGGGTGACACCTTTGGGCTGACCTGCCCTCAAAAACGGGATGTAATTATGGTAACCTGGAAAATAAACCCCCAGACTGGAGGCCACTGCACCTTGGGATACAGGGCTGATCTGAACCAGACAAACAGAACAAACTGCACTGAGAACATGAACTGGAAATCTAGGCCAGATCATGACACTACCCTTCAGATACGGCCAGTGCAAAGGGCCAGTGAGGGAAACTACACCTGCGAGATGGCCGCGAGGGAAGGGAATTTCCACCTGACCCACCACCTGACTGTGCTAGGTAAGGAACTCCTTCCCCATTTTGCAGCTCTCCAGATGACCATGTCCAAGCCTTCTCTCTCTCCTCAAGCACAGGAAGAAGCGTGCAGTAAGAAGAGCATTGCTGCCGGGACAAGTTGTAATGCATTTCATTCCTCGTACCTCCGTTTCTCTCCTCTCCTGATTTACCAAAACGCTTTTCCCTTCTGCTGACCCCTTTCCCACTGTACAGTTAGAAATGACGGGTAGGAAGAAACTTCCAGCGTACTGAAGAAGGATTCCGCATACCCATCTGGTTATCTTGTAAAGTCATTTATTAAGATGCTGCTGCTTTAAGATAACTGCAATGTGTCAGAGTAACAGTTCCAGCTACTGTGATGTTCTCCCAACCCTGGATGGTATTGCCCAGATGCCAAGAACGGCCCCATTTCCTCCTACGCTGGCGTTCAAATCCATTTTAAGCCACGCGTACTTAGGGCAAAAGTCTAATTCAGCCCCCTATTTTGCATCATTCCCTACATCCGTGTCCAGGGATACCTTCTCGAATGGTACGTGGCTGTGGCAACTTGCCCGAGTCTGGGACGGTTGCCCAAGATGAAAAAAGATGCATGATCTTTGTCTCTGTGACTTTGGCACATGTCGCTGTGACCAAAGGGCACCTCCCACCTTATTCTCCTCTTCTCACTGTGTTCATTTCGGGAGAAGAATAAGAACACCCTACCACTACTGCAGCAAACTAACTCCATGCGACTCCCCTGCCCAATGCTCCACAGTCCCCCCCGAGCTGACCGTGTACTGTGACAGCCGTGGGAACCCCGTGTGCAAGGCAGTGGCAGGGAAGCCGGCTGCTCGGATCCGGTGGGTCCCAGAGAGCAACTCCAGCCCTGAGGAAGAAGACCATGGTGACGGGACAGTGACTGTTCTCAGCACATTCACGGGAAATGGCACCAATCTGAATAGTACAACCTGCTTTGTGTCCCACCCAGCTATGATCCACAACCAGTCCATAGCCTGCCTCTCAGGTAAGCTTCCCTCTGTGCGTTTTGTGTTCAAAATCCCAGCAAGCCTGTTTGCGCACTCTTGTCCCTCCCTTCTAAGGAGGGAAATCTCTAAAAGCTATAGAAACGTTCAGTGAAGTCCTACATAGACAAGAGTACCATCCCCAACTGCCTTTGTGCAGAATTATCACCAGCTTGTTAGTGTTCCAGACACTATTTCCAAACAGCTTCTTCCCTAAGAAATATGTCTGTAGGTAAGTCTGGTAGTATTCCTTTGGCAATTGGAAAGCCTTTGGAAGCTGAGTGACAGCAGTCATGCTCTTACTGTTAAACTATGCAGCTGGAAGCAGAACATCAACAACATTTGCTGAGATGCAAAGGAAAGGTCTCCTCCTCAGCCTGTGGAAAAGAGAGAAGAAACAACTCTTGTTTGGCCAGCAGAAACAAATAAATCACTTCAGCCTGAGTTGTGAACGTATGATAACTGAAGTGTGTGACATTTGCTTTCTGGTTTCTGCCTTTCTTTCTCCTTTTTGCTTTGGAGAACTATACATGAATTACAGTACTGAGATATGCTGAGTCCTTGAGGGGAGCTAGAATATGGCCCAGAGGATAACGGATGTGAGAGTCCACTGTGGGATTTTGGAGCTCAGCTTTTGTCTCTGACACAGACTCTATTTGTGTTTCTCAGACAAGTTCCATTACTTTCCCTTCTGCCAAATGGGACTATATTTATTTCACAGACAGGCTGAAAATTTATGTGCTAAAGCAGCTTTAATCTCATACAGACAGAACAAAGAAACTGATCACTGAAAAGACCTAACTGAGACTGACTCTTTCTTTTTAGAAAACTTTATCCCGTATATCTCCATCATTCCTGGTTTCCTGAGCATTGTCATCTTCATCGCTCTCATTTATTATTTTAAGCTCCATGGTGACAGGTATGTATGACAGAGTGCTAAGGAAAGCTTGTCCCGAGCTGTGAGAAATCTTAAAGTACTGATTGTTATCACATCATGTATCTTGAAATCATCCGATTCTGTCTCTCTGTGCTGCTATGCATAACTGAATTAACCGGATCAAGTATTTCTGCTTTACACTGCAGTCACTGTGTATTGCACCTACCATCACTGAATAATGCATCTGACTGAGATGGGCAGGGGTTGGCAGGGGGTTCTCACTGCATTGCTTCCAACACTGAAGGAGAGCTCTTCATTCTGACAGGAAACTAGCAGAGCAAAGCTTTTCTTCAGATACCGCATTCCCTGCAGCCCCTACTCCAAAACCACTTTTTTTCCCATCCTCCTCCTTCAGAGGAGAAGAATTAGTTCAGTACAGTTTCACTGCGGGAAAATTTTACATACTTCCAGGGGACTTTGTTTTTAGTCTTCTGCTTCCACTGTGTGCTTAAGCTTCCAGGAACACCAGAAGAGATCTCTCAACAGAGTTAGGGTGCCAGAATTTCAGGATCAAAACTCAAGGAGAGAAAGACACGAGGATACTTTTTAGCTTTATTCTTGATGATCAAAAAGAGAAATAGTTCATGACCTTGTGATCAGCAAAGGTCAAAAGCCACTCTAGCCCAGTCTAGTATTGAGGGAGGAATTTGTTACAGTTTGTTTTCTTTTTCACAGACTGTGCTACAAAAGGAAATCTCCTGAGACTGCTCCTACACATTCCTTACAGGTAAGGAGAGTGATACAGCTTAGATCATCACCAAACCAGGGATCTTCTAGTAGTCCTGAAAACATGGTCAGTAAAGGCAAACCACTAGATTTTTACTGCCTGCTTTTTGCAGCTGCTGCTGTGTCTTATATGTTTATCCTTAGCAATACCTCAGGGGAAAACAGAGCCTATCATCACCATAATTTAGAATTGGAGCAAACATTAGAAGCATATTGCAAGAGGAAAGACTCAGCAACTACCACCCTTTAACTTTGTAAGGAGCAAGTCCCACCATATCTCCCTGGTCATGTCTGATACACTGACCACAACTGCTATACAAGCGGTCTTCGGGGAGGGTGGCAATATCATGGGTTGGGGAATGTTAAGAAAGCTATTAGTATATGAAAGAATCTCACAAAAAGTAAACAAAGACGTCAATCTATCTATTCAGAATGATAATGTGTAATCTTTTAAAGTCCACTTTCTCTCTTGTATGATCAATCCACGATTAACAAGCGAACCATACTCAAGTCAAACATTTTATAAAACAATGGCAGGAATGCTAAGCTGCAAGTTAGGAGACAGTCTTGAATGCCCTACACTATTACAGGTCTCCTGTGTGGCTGAGTAATTCACTCATCAGCTCTGTGTCTCTCTTCTCTGCTACCAACTATAAATAAAGCTAATTTCTTGCAAGCAAGTTGTGAGACAATTACCTTGTAGGACATCTATAGGGTCAATATCTGTGTATCTGCAGTAGATACTAGACTCAAATTCTGTCACCAGCTTAAAAAGGTGCTTCAGTTTTGATTTCTGAAATAACTTAGTCAATTCTAGCTATTCTTGCCCCTTCTCTTCTGCTGTCCTATCTCCCTATTGTTGCTAACAGATGCAGTTGCAGTACTGTAAAATGATTGTTTCTTGCTGGTACATCACAAAACTTTCATTAGTATGACTGTAGATCGAGGCTGTAGTCTGACAGAGGAATCTAACATGGTCAGAACCCTAGCATGTTATTTGATCTTTCTAGAGAATGAGATCCTAATACAAAAATTTGCAGACCAAAATAAACAAGGGAGAAGGGGAGGAGGGAGAAGAGGAAAAGGAAGCAGGTGAATTAATACTTCAGTTTTACTCAACAAGTCTTTGGCAAAAACAGCAATACAGGTTCTCTGGCAGAAAAAGCAATATAGGATTTTTCTTGAGTGCAAAAGGAATAAACACAGGAGTGTTATTTCTCGGTTACACTGTTCAGTTCACATGAAGGGTTTGCAGAGTCTTGCCAAACTAAAATACTCATTGCACTCACAGTTTTTGGTTTTGTTTTGCTAGGATGACACCATGGAGGTGGAACCTTATACTACTTATGTGCAGAAAGAAAATGTAATTTACAACTCAGTGTCTGACCTGACAGTGGAGCAGAACCTTCCACGAGGACCACTACCAGTAACATGAATGATTCAACAACACTGGAAAGCAGGGGAGTCATTTTATAAAAGACTGGCCACAGAAGAATCTTCTCAGAGGATTTCTTCAGATTTTGGGGCTACATAGACCACTAGATCTCTTTAAATACCGATGCTTGCTGATGAGTCTAACTAATTCTTTCTTTTTTTTCTTGTTTTGCACCACTTAAAGTGGTGCTGGGAAAATCTGACTGACCTCGTGCCATAGTTTTTCCTGGAAAAAAAAAAAAGCTCCTGTGACCAGTCTTCCCTTTGGCGTTTTTACCTCAGGAATACTAGTTTTGTCAGTCACTTCTAGGCATTACTTTGATACACTTGACACTATACTGCACATATTTGGGAGACGTGAGGAGTGTTAAGTCTGAGCCAAAATGAAACACCCTCCAAACAACATCCACTTTGTTCTAATTTATAAGTTACTAACATAATGGCTCTGAGTATTAATCATCACAGAATAGCTCAACTGGCGGAAGTTATCAGTAGGGAAGACTTTCAATCCTGTTTTTGAAAATGGAAACAAGCGATGAATTTACGATGTCACCCACTAGAAAAGGGACTTCACTGGCATGTTGAATTAACCTGCTAGGTTCATATTCAGTATTTCCACTAAAAGTCTTCATTCCATATTTCACATTATTCTTACGATTACTTTTCCTTAAGATACTCCAAAGGAGGGATATTACTGTCTGTTTTGGAGCATTGGCATTAGTATACTGTATGATAATTATGTTAATCAAATCCAGTAAGCTATTTCTAACAGAAACTAACACCAAATATTTCACAAAAAGAAACAAGTTCAAATATATCCTCTATAACTGTGCAATAATATACAAAAGGGATAAAATGCATGCTAATTCTAGTCATATTTATTTTAACTACTGCAACTGAAGATATTTTCATTCATATGTCTAGCTCTTTTCTTGACTCTTAATATAGTATTCTAAATATACGCGCAAGTTCACTTTGTTGTGTACAAAATACCTTATATATCTCAATGTGTCTCCTCAATGTGACTTCTTCTCACCTTTCCAAAATGTCTTTTGGGTATAGATTCAAATTCAATGAATTTGAATTTCATTCAAATGAATGAAATTGTCCTCAGTATACTAAAGGTTCTTAAACTTTTTGGGCTGATTACTTAGTAGCTAAAGCGTGACCTGGCTCTCCAGTAAGAATAGAGATACATTTGTATATCTCTGTTTACTACCTTTTATTTCAGTATTTTAAAAGACTGATAGAGTACTTGGTCTGATGGTAGGATCATAACAACTAGATTTTTCCTTTAGACAGTAGAAATGTCTTTGCCACACATTCCTCCAGCTCTTTTTGAGATAGCCCCTGAGGGCCACGATCCAGTGCTTAGAAAACACACTTCTAAATTTAATACAGTTCTTAAATGTATTACTCAACCAAACCAATACAAATAGTTATGTATCTCACTCTACCAACTATGAAATAGCCACTTCTGTCCAGGTGATCGCTGCATGCAAGCATTGCTTTTCTCTATTTCCTCATGTCATTTGGAACAGAAGAGATCAAAGCTGAAAATTGTATTTAAAGCACTGAATATCAATCAATGACAGACAGGAAGTTTTAAAGGAACCTCAGTCTTCCAGTGACTTACCAAGGGATAGAGCCAACCAAATCAGTTATGATCCCCTGCAATTACCTACGCTAAATAGCTAGAATACAGTCCAGTGATCTTTCCTCCCACTCTAAAACCAGAGAGCTTAATCACTTATTAGATTCTTTTCTGTGCAAATCGAAAGTCATTTATGTTCTTTAGTGTCCATAGAATGGGGTTCATCATATGAGATGTCAGCTCTTGAAGGCAGATCCTTGCCGGTTCGTACGTAATATAACAAATGTATAGAAGTACAGCACATGCTAACTGCAGCCTTTTATGGTCCTCCACAAGCCTATTATACTTGTACGAGTATGATCCAGACCTGGACTTTGATGTTGCTAACTGGTCGCTTGTTTCCTTTGTCCTCTACTTTGTTCCACAGTTAGGCCTGCCATCAGGCACTCTGAGGCAAGGAATCATGCAGGCTGTTGATGATGGCTTGCGTGTCTTTTGACCTGGAGCCCAAAGCAGCCAAGTGGCTAGATGTCAAGGCAGTCAGCACAGCAACTACTCCTGCCCTTTCATGTAGACAGGAAGGCCACTGTTTCTGTGCCTAAGTGATTTGCATAGTCAAGGATTTAGCCAGATCCTCTGCAGTTAAGTTGCAGATCATTTGTCCATACTTTGTAACTGTGATAAATGTGTACCAGTTAAGTGTCTTATGTGCACACACATGCACAAATGTTCTTTGTTCCTAAGAGCAGAGAAGGTCTGGAGCAGAGGTTCCCTCTCTGCACTCCTCTTTCTCCATCAGAGTACTTGCAGCTATTTCTCTCTGCAACATGCTGCTACTGTGCAGCAGCCATCCTCCACGCAAAAGTGCTGTGTTCACTGTTTCCTAGCGGTCAGGCAAGCCAGCTCGCTAAACTCCCCAGCATGTTGCAGAGTCACAGGAAGAAAGGCAGCAGTTTCTCAGCTGCTCCCATAAACAAATGTTTTAGTTTTGACCACATTTATCAATGCTATCTCTTGCTGCATCACTTACTTTTGCTTAATTTCTATCTCCTGCCTTTGCTGCTCTATTTTATGTTTACCCATACAGTTCACTCTTTTGACAGTTTACAGCTGCCATTCCTATTCTAATCAGGCAGCTAATAATCATGATTATTTTATGACTACAGAGCCCCAGACACTGAGCTCACATGCATAGCAAGCCAGCAAATTCTGTGTTGTTGCACATCCAACAACACCAGCAACACAGAACAGCCAGCCACTGAGGTGCAGCCGGCCTCTTCATATTGAGGGCCTGTGCTTTAAGATGGCACTGGCAGTACTGCAAAATGGATGCCCTGCAAGTCCTGAGATTGAACGCAGCTTCTGTGCATACACCACTTGTTTGGCCTCTCCAACCAGGAATTATTTCCTGGGAACAGTCAAGCCCTTCACCACCTCTTATAGCAATATTAAACTTTGTTAAAATACAACTTTTAGCACATCATTGCATCATCACTTATTTACTTCACACAGCTTTCCTAACAATAGAATCTATTAAACAGTGCTGTTTCTGATATTACTCCATTTCTGGATCCCAGTGGGTTTCAGGACCCAGTCACCTAGTCACCTAGTCACCCAGTCACCCAATCACCTAGTCATATTTGTAGCTTATTACTCACAGTTTAGTTTGTAAACCTGCTATCCCTGGTAGATTTCCTTGTTCACTGTGTGACTGCTCTGTAGTTCTGCTCAGCTTACTTCCAGTTATGAATTAAAATGATTTCTGCATCTTCTGTTTTCATCATGCTGCCAACAGAAATATAAGTTTTGATGTTAGAGCTGGGTAATTTTCATATGAACATTGGCATAGCCACCTCCTTCTAGATACAGCAGTGACTTCATTACAGAAATTTAAAGAACGAGTGTATAAGCAAAGGAATGTCAAAGAAATAACTTTCAGAAAATATTTATTGAAAACAAATTTAAAAATTCTAAAACTTTTGTAAGCAGAATAAGAACTGACTCTAAGAGTCATATTTTACTGGCAGAGAAGTGAATGCAATGAATTTAGTCATAACTAGAAAGAAAGCTCCAAAAATACATTTTCACAGAAACAAGCTATGCAGTCACACCACGACCAATTCACAGAAAGTACTGAGCAAAGAATTTTCAATACTGAATATATTTAAGAAAGGCTTTCATGGCTTAACCTGTTCTCCCTTGCATTCACTATTGAGAAATCATCTCTCTCTGATAGATCAAGGGTGCCAGCTACCTTTGACCACATGTTAAGTTTTAAAATAATTACTCTTATGTTTTTTCTCATTTACGTCTCAGATGAGGCGGTCCTTTGTTAGAAAACCACAGAAACACTCAGGAGGGTACATCACTATTTTTAATCAGTGTTTTTGTTAAATTTCTGTGGCAATACCTGTTTAATAAAAATGATATTGTTTAGGCTGTTGGTATACTGAAATTACTGCTCATTTCACACGCCATATTACCTTGCCACTCCCTTAAGGTCCCCATTATCTGCTTCTGTTAGCATCGCCTCTTGACATGCACTTAAGACTGCAGGCCATCTTTAGGGTCCGAGTTGGCAAGCACCTTGTGTAAGGGGATCTTAATCCACAACTGGGACTTCAACACACTGTGAAAATACAAATTAAGACACAGAATCTGAAAACTGAGCAAGATGTGAAGTTTGTTAAGCAAATATTATGCCTTATATTACCCAATGTGCTCCAGGAGAGATCTTGCTTGCATAAAAGCTTCCTCACTGATTACTAGACATAAATTTCTCCATATGAAAAACAACAAAAAAAGAAAATTTACACTTGCTTCTGTCCACCATGAATTCTGTTTGGAAGCTGGATCATTTCATAGATACTGGATACTGGTGCTAATGCTAAACAGCAGTATTCCAGTCTGTGTTGTCAAACCCATACCACTGTACTTTGCTCTAACAGATTTCCTCCTTGTAAGAATATATTCTTATTACATTGTGTACCAGCTAGGCTTTTTACATATTTACTCTCTTAGCTCCCATCATTATTGTCTAGGTGTTAGTATTAGCTTTACTGATCAGTCAACTGTAAAACATCAATATATTGACAAGCCCATTGTGAGCAGATGCACATAGGCAACTTTCTTGTGACAGTGCCAATATCCTTGCTGCAGGGTAGCTTTTAAAGAAAGACGGCTGAACACCCAGATCTGGGGATCTGAGGCTGTGCTCATTTGAGGTACATGTAATTTCCTCATATTTACCAGCAGGTTTACTACAGTGTATCAAAGTCAGTGAACAGCAGGAGCCCTACACCCTCTAGATTGAAGGCTCTTTTCCCTTATAACCTGTGCTTGCTCAGCTGAAACCACTGGCATCGTGCTGTTGCTGTAACAAAGCTTGACCCTCTAGGATGAGTTACGGTGGAGTATTGCTATTATTCTTAAGGGGGAATCTAAAATTAAAGCTGACTTGTAAAAATGATTGTAGCAGAGTATCTAGCAAAATAAGTTGTCGCCCTATTTTAGCTTCAGTTATCTTGATCTTCAGCCTTCCACAACAGCTTAGTAAGGCTGAAGATGGTATGTCACTGGTAAAATGTGGGAGAGACAGGGAAGAGGGAGTTCACAGCCTTGCTGTACAAAGTTATAAATTTGTTTCTTCTCGATCAAAGATTCTTGGGTTTTTCCTTTCATCTCAAAGGCATTCAGATTTCTTTCTTTTGGTAATTTCAGTTGATATATCCTGAGAATAAAAAAACATTCTAGTTACATCCAAATAAAAATGGTTATTTGGGAATATAAGTTAAGACCTATTATGACCACTAGATGACGGTTTCACCTCACACTAAGAAAAACTTTGCCACATGAGAAGCATTAGTTCTCCACATACTTTCCCATTGGATTTGGTATTTTAATAACTCTTTTTTAAAGTGTGGGCCTTCATTTGTACAGGGATTTCTCACAAAAAAAAACATTTCCTTGTGCATTACAGTGTTGAGCAATAGTGGTATATAAAGCAATATTAAGGAAAACCAACAAAAATAATATGATAAGCACCAAAGACTTCATTCAGAGATGGCTGGAGATATCTTAATGGTATACACAAAAACTGTGCAATGGTAAGTAGGTTCTGAGAGGATGGAGAGGAGAACGGGGAAAAAATGTGGGAGCTCTGGGGCAGCAGGGTAAAAGGCAGCTTGAGGAGAAGTTGAGGGAGTAATTAATAAGAATTCAAAGGATTGCAGGGAGGGGCAGGAGTTCTCCTTCTCTCTCTTGCACTCCACCTTCTCAATTGGAAAGCTCCTCCTTCTCCTCTTTAGTATAGGAATCCGAATTAGTCTTCTGTCCGGGGTTTATAGAGCAGCTAATTGCCTCCTGCAAAACTCCCTGTTCCCATATCTCCTGGGCTGCTGTTGCAGGAAAGGGAAGTAGGTGGCTGTGGGGTCCCAGCAGAGAGACAGCAAGGAACAGGGAGATCTGGACTTGCTAGTCCTGTTGTTGGTAGGGCCAAGAGCACAGATCTGCAGTAGCAACTTCAGCAGAAGTCCTGCCTTCAGTAAAAGCCACCCCCTCACTTCCACAGCCCCCTGCCCTCAGCAGGCACAGCAGCAGAGCAGAACGCCGTGTACATGTGAAGGAAACATTATGTGCTCCAGTGATTACTCCACTCAGACAACTGGTCCTTATAGTCCCTGGCACAGACAAAATGAACAAGTCTGTTTTGCTCATATCTGAGATCAGCCTTGTCCATATTTCCTACCCTTCTCTCTTGTATGCACCTCACTTGTAATCCCAGACATTACATAGCACATGAAGAAATGGGAGCCTTCTACAGGATCCACTGGCATCACATGTGAGTTGCTATCAAGCTAAATCTCCATCTTCCCACTTTGGGAGAGGAAGGGGAAATGGTAAGAGATCACTGCATACCAGCTCAGAGGGAAAGAATCATCAAAACATGACAGGGAAAGTATGCAGCAACCACACTTTCAGCTTCCAAGGTGGAGAGGGGCTGGTAAACTACAGAGAGTTGGTATTGGCCCTGCTTTTTAAATACAGGCCCAAGGGATTCCTGCCCTGCTATGCATGGTTGCTCTTTTTGAGAAAACCCTATGAAATACAGCCAAGAATTTCTGATCAAAGGAAAACATAAGCATATACACTTGGTAGGAGCATTTCTTTCACCAACCCTTTGCCTCTTCCCCTGCACCTTCATGGTTCTCTCACTGCAATAACCATGGATCAGTTTTAAAAGTTTATATCCCATTACAGTCACAAACCTTAAACCCTTCACATTTCTCCCAAGTAACCACCTCCCACTTTCAGTTCAGTTCAACCTACCCATCTCTGCTTTTCTTCTCTCTCTTCACTTCTCTGCAAACTCTCAGATCTCTCAATACTGCTGACGAAAATGTTGAACATCATTGCCAAAATAAGGCTCCTGTATCAAGTTACATTGCAGCCACGTTACAAGGGTCTGAAGATGGGCACATTAGGTTGTTTGATGTGAAAAGCTGTACATCCAGCCACACAGCAAACATGACTGGGGATGGAGTTGTTGGCCCAACATGCTCCACAGCATACTGGAGCATAAGAGCCGGTGGCTTACAGGCAAATCACTGTAGGCACATGCTTTTTAGGAGTACGTAACGCAGGTTGCAGTGTAGTGCTGCTGCCCCTCTCCTGCTCCGGGACCTGCATCACAGGAGAGCTACTAAGCTGCAAGCTGTGTCTGGTGTGTGGGGTGTGCAAAGCAGCAATATGCTGCAAATGTAGGAGCTGCTAGTGCTACGGTGGAGCACCACAGGAGGCAGTAAGAAGAGTGGGTTTCTTTCAAATAGCTCTCTGCATCTAGCTGGTCCATACAGAAGGCATAAGTAGGCATACCTGGCTCTCTGGACTTATTATTAGTGTTTAAGGAATAGGCCAGAATATTGTAGCAGAATAGTAAAATTGCTTTGCCTGTCAGTAACACTTCCTAGCCAAAGATCTTAGAGCTCTTTACTTACATATTTAACGTTATTAATCTCTTCTGAATTTTTTAAATATCATCTTTTTTTGGAAAGAGGGATTTGGTGATCTGCACACAATCACCAGGTACCACTTGGTGCTCATTCAAAAATCAGGAAAGATCAATTGCAATAGTGAAGAAAAAACATTAAAAAGCACCCTCTAACCCTTTTTGAAAAAAGCTGGTAATACCTTACAGTTACCATAGGTGAATTTCTTCACCTCCAGGAGCCTTATTTTTCCTTGATGTAAAATGGCATAATGATCCTGACCTACTTCGTGAAGTGCGTGGACTTCTACTTACTACAAATACTGTGTAGCGACTAAGTATTACTTTTACTATTAAAGTACAGCCACCTCTGGGTTTGAACGCAGCAAGCTGTGAAAACATCAAATTGAATCTGCCAAATGGCATTTAGATGGGCAATCTGCCCTTCACACCCCATGTTTGCACAGAGTCATAAAAGTGTTTATTACACTCTTACAGGGAATAAAACTGAGTTTTTAAGAAATATAAGTTTGATATCATTCGGTATTTGATTTCAGATGTCACCCTGAAGCAACTAAGTACTGCCTTTTCTTCATTTATTAAGTAATGCTTTCCATAGGACACACTTTTTTTCTTTGCTTGTTTGTTTTCCCATGGTCTCCTCGCTTCATACTGAGCAGTGCCCAGCAGTGTTTTACTTGTACAAGCTGATGAGTTCATGCCCTGAAATGGAAGGGTTACACAAGACTCAGCTGCTAACATTCCCAGGGCTGAAAATCTACAAACACTGCCACGTGTATGCATTGGGGAGGGGTGAGGGGGGTGGCTTTAAAAAAATTAGAAAAAAAATACCACAAAAACAATGTATTGCACTGGGACTTTGATTGCGCATCATCTGCTTTCACTTACCATTTCAAGCTCTATTGCACCAGCTGAAGCAAAACATTTTTTCTCCTTTTTATAATTTATATCATAACCATGGAAAAGGAAACATAAAATCACTTAGATGACCATATGAGAGTGAGAGTGTCCAAGATATTAGCTCTAAGGAGATGAAATACAGTAGGATAACTCAAAAGAATTCTCAGATACTATTTCAGGAAGATATGTGCCCTCCTCACCTTACTCCTCACATTTTATCAAAAAAAGAAAAAAAAATCTGGAACGGAATACGTTACCTTGGGGGATTAACAGAAGAGAAAGTTTGCAATAATTTCCATGATGACTTTTCAGCTTACAATAAGATTCCATTAACCTTATTCATCCCATCCAGGGACCACATCTCTAGTCACATACAGGCCAACATATGATTGCTTAGTTGCTTTTAATGCAGGAGGATTGTATTTCCCATGCCCTGGCTAAAGATTAAAAGAAAACTCTCCAGGCAGGAGGTGGACACGAAAATGTTCTTTGGTGCCAAGCTTAGCTCTTTTTTCCCCTCCTTTTTTAGACTTTCATCCAAAACATGCTTACTTTGGCAGCCTACCCAGAGGACTGTGAAATAATAAAGAGCCACTGTCCAATTCTTACCTCTGCAGGACAGTAGACCAAATTTAATACTTGCAAATTTTAGTTGGTTTTGATCAAAGTTTTTTTGCCAAACTAGAATCTTTGCTTGTTTCTGTGTTGTCATCGGCAGCTGGAGGGGCTGTAGAGACAGATTTTTCCCAAGGGCTTTTTAAGTGCTACCTGCCTTTTAACTACATAAAGAAAAGGGGCAGGATTGCCAGGACAGGTGGGGAGAGAAGAATTTCTCTGTTTAAGAACTGTTTAAGAATTTGTCTTTAAAAGACTGAATGGATGTTTCAAGGGATGATGAGGCCTCACTTCTGTGCTGCTAGCTTAAACCAGAGGTGCTTAAAGATTACTAATTACTTTGTTATTACTCATGTTTGTTAGAGTAATATCTGGAGACTAATCAAGATGGACACAGATATAGTAAACCCTATATAAACAGGGAGCTGTACACAGTCCTTGACCTAAAGAACTAATAATCTAAACAGACACGCCAGACATGACGGAACATGACGTTGTCAGCAATGTTTGAAAGCACACGTAATTGTGGCAGTATGCTCAATACTTTAATACTCAGTTACTCCTTCTCGAATCAAAGTGAAGATTTCCAAAAGCACACAAAGGTGTGAAATACACAAATATATCGAGAAAGTCACCTTAAATTACTAACTCTGTGAGCGGATATGCTCTTCACCGATAAAAGAGTTTCCCTTTCAGTTGCAACATCCTGTAGAAACAAATGCTAAATCCTGTGCCATCGAAGTTAATAGCACATTTTCCATTTAGTAGATCAGAACAAAAATAACAACCTAAATAACTACACATCAGAAACTGAAAAAGCAGCAATCAGTTTTTATGAGAACTTTTCTTGGGCAGACATCAAGGTAGGTAAGTCAAAAGTAGGTAAGCCTCACTATCTTCCTTCTGTGGCGAGGGGAAGGCAGGCACAAGATAAAATTTAAGGCACAAAAGATGGGACAGGAATTAACCTAAGGCTACACAATAACTCAGGATTAAACTGGTAGGACGGAATTCAAAATCTGGCCCTTCAGAACTTGAGCAAGACTGACCGAAAGACTGCATATTGTCAGAAATCTAATAATTGCAGGAACAGTGAGACAGAACTGAAAGTTATATGTAAATCTGAGTCGAGCAATTCCTGCACTAATAGTCCCCAGTCTTTGGTACATGAAGCTCTCCCTTTGAGGCTGTGTTGAAGTACAGGCAGCAAGTTAGGATAGGGAAGACTGCACAGAACTTTTTTCAGTGTGAGGATCAGTAGTGGATTCCAGTTCTGAGGGAGGTTTATGGTACTTGTTCTGGCATCACAATCATATTTATGCTCTATGAAGTCAAATTCTAGTAACTGTAGTCCGCTAGGTGCTAATAGATGATGCTGTAATGCATGTACAAATTGTATTCCTCCTTGATCCACAATACAAAAAACCCCAGGAGTCAGTAAAGTGAGAATTTGATCTTGCAGGAGAATTTAAGGACAGATTATCTAAAACTTAAAACAAACACATAATGTTCTGTTGGGAATCATATCTGTTTACTAAGGAAATTCAAAAGCATAAATATTTATAATGGGAGGTACATGGATTTCTCTTAATGTTATAGTTAGTTCCATTTTGGAATACATGCTGTTTTGCTTAAAGTTTTCTATTTGCTTTTGAAATCTGACCCATATCCCATATATTAACTTCATTATTTGCTCATCATTTCTGTCCCTATCCCTGCTCCGTTGTTTTTCCAGGGTTTGTCTTTTATTGGAAATTCCATCTGCCTTTAAATCTTACCAAAGGCTGGCCTTGATAAAAGAATCTGAAAATGAAAGAGCACAATCCTAACTTAGTATTTACAAAATAGATTTGTGCCATATATATACTGTATGTACCTATAAATACACATATGTAACATTATTATTATTTAATGGTATTACAAGCAAATTTAGAGAACCCAGTGAAAATCAGGTATAAAAGTCTCTTCCTTGTAGAGTTTACAATCTGAATAGTCAAATTAGACACAACATTGATGAAAATAACTCCGTGTCTTCATGACAGATGTGTGCTTTCAATTCCCTTTATGCTGTTCCTTTCCTGCACCTCGAAAGGAACTGGCAAAATAAATAGCACAGTGAACTTTATACCCATCAACAGAAAAAATCTGTAACAGGCAGGGCCCAAAGAATGAAGCCATTGTCAGCACAGCGTGATGTGAATGCTTTAGGAGTCTGCAATAGCATTTGTGCATCGGGGACCCTGCACCAGTGCAAAAAATAATCATAATGAAAACAAACTGCAAGGCTCTAACTAGCCCTGGGCAGACCTCAGACCATGCAGAAATTTCAAACAGCTTTTAAATGTGCAGATGCTGTCTGGGCCTTCTCTGAAAAAGCCTCACTCAAAAGTGTCTACACAATGTCTTCAGTTCTCATACGGTCAGGCTCCTGTGAATTTATTACTTTCCATTTCCAAAGCAGCAGTCAACTTAAAATAAATTACTTGACATACGTTTCTATCAGCTCAGAGTTAACCTTAAACTTGGAGCACAGATATATTAAATTGGAGAAGTTCTGATTTTATCCAAAATATTTTGTCCCCCTTTTCCAGGCAGCATCGCAAGTCACCTGTTTAGACCCTGTGAACCTGATTATTTCACTGGAGAATACAGACTGAATCAAGAGTTAAGTATTAGTGTCCAGCCATGGGAAAAAAGTGGGATTATCACAGGTGAGTGAAAATTTCAAAAATGGCTTACAGAGGAAATCACAGCCAGGCCACAAAATCTCAAGGATCGACTCTTTCATGGTCTGCAAAATGATCAGCAGTCAAGTAGCAACAAGGTGTAAATTATAAGTTTACAGCAAAGATCTGACAGTCCATCTACAGCTTTGCCAGCACGGGGGATAGTATGACACACACCATTTTGTGTTGCTTATAGGAGCACCTGCAGGAGCAAAGCAGCTCCCATTATAGCGGGCTCTTGATCTGTTACTGCAGCTAGAAGGCTCAAAGGCCATACTGGCAGCAGCTAGTGTAACAGTCTTATTCAGTAAATGACATTCTTACCGCTGTCTTTAGTGGGCCATATTTAGCTGACTTAAGAGCATCCGCTTGGAGACCATTCATAAGACTTCAGAGTGTGTGGAGGCATAGGCCTTAGCACATTGCTCCCATTCTCTAGAGTTTTGCTGCATTTCTACAAAAATAATTCACAGGCTATTTACTACCTGCCTCACAGGAGCAAGGTCAGGACTCAGCACTTCTGTGGCAAGGGAAAGCTGCTGTATAGTCATATCACGGAACTGCAGATTAAAGTCTACAAAAACCTGCACTGACAGGAAAATGGAAAGAAACAGAGGGTCAGGAGGTGCTGCAGTATGTGCAACACGTGCATTTTACAGTTGTTTTGAGAGGAAGAGAGATATGTCTGGATGTTAAAACTCCTTTCTGGAGCTGAATTTGAACATAGATCCAAATGTCCTGGCTGGCAGGAATCTCTAGACTGACCCAAAAGCTAATATAGACCTTTATGTTCTAGCTCATGCCCGTTGTGTATTCAACATACAGAAGAGAAAGGGAGAAATCTGGTTGACCAGATTTTCTGGATTCCACTGGGAATCCTCAAGGACTAGAGATTTTTTTTTTTTTTTGGACCGTTTACCCCATGCCGATGGGTGGCCCAAGACTAGAGGACCACAAGAACCAGGGAGTTGTATGGGTGGTTTAACACTAACTTTAGTTGTGTATACAAGACCCCTTTGGACTTCTGCCAGGTACAGTTCAGGCAATCTGGAGAACATGGGCCAAGCTGTACAATGCATGCCTGTGGTGGTTTAAGACCTGAGGCACACAAATACTGTGAGGTTCAAAGGGATGCAGGGAAATAAGCACACAAAGCACAAAGCAGTATCTTTCTGTAGCAGCGAGTTCTAGACCCAAGAGTTACTGCTTCATCTCAGGGAATAACCTGGAGGCATAATCAGCTCTGATCTGTTTGTTTTTGTCTCCTCCTGGGAGCCATTATATGATATTAACAAAATAAATCAATTTTAAATAACTCAGTGTGTAAGCTTACAACAGAGCTGTTCTTTCTGGCATACCTCTGGGACATTACACAGTCCTCCACCATTATGAATGAATGAATGGGTCTTAGCTGTACTGCAATAGAGTAATTTGTTTTAATAATGTCTGAATATACACTGAGGTAATATTTGTGCAAACTGTAATAGTGTTTTCAGGGCAGAAATTCACATGTTAAGAGAACAGTGTTTATTTACATTTAAAGAGCAGTTATGGACAGAAAAGAGGTTGTTAAAATGACACCAGGAAGATCATATTTATTCTCTCCCTGTGGTTTCAGTTCAGATTTGCCTGGTGCACAAGTCAAAGGTTTTCTTTTAAATGACAGTTACAGAAACTCCACATGGGATTTGAAAGACATCTGTTTTTTATCCTCATACCAACAGTGGAGAGTCTGCAACTAGATTTAACTGAAGAGTTGACAGCAAGGAGAGATGCCAAATGCCCAGAATCTTCTTAATCCTTTACAAGATTCGGTTCCTCCTCTCAGAAAAGGAATGTTATCGTTTGTGATTAGTGAAATCCATATACATATTAGGAGCACCACAGAAAGAACAGTGGTTTTGGGGTGGGGGTAGGTTTTTCTGGTCTATTTTCTAATGCTGATTCCTTCTCCCATTAAGAACGGCAGGGTGCTTAAGAAGAGCAGACTATACTGTGCTCTTCAGGAACGGCTGCCTGAGGAAGACTTGA